TTTATAGAGAAATCAGTATTGGTATCATTGATACTGGCCTTCAGTCATAAAAAAAAAAGATTCATTTAAACAAATATTTAAAAATATACTGTCTTTATGTTCGTACATTAATTTGAAGATTGAATGTGAAATTATTGCAATATAAAAATATATCAAATAAATCCAGCCTTGATATGCACAAGGGACTTCTTTCAAAAGCATTTTAAAAACCATAATTATACCATCAGTGTACCATTCATACATTGTATTAACAGATTGTAGTTTGAGTGTTAACTGTGTGTCTCGCTCAGTGGTGGTACATTGGGCCTGATCATGGCCGCAGGCTGCGTGGGAATGGCTGCATCCTCTCTAATGGAGCTCCAGAATAACGGCGGCTATTTCCTCCATCACGTGATCTTTGCCTCCTTCGCCGTTCTCTCTGTCCTGTGCATCATGTTGCTGCCAGAGAGCAAACACAAACCTCTGCCAGACTCGCTTAAAGATGGAGAGCGGCAACGACGTCCTCCTCTCTTCCTCTCACGCATCAACCGGGACAACCCACCCTTACTGCGCATGCAGCCGCAGAGCTCAGAGTACAACCGGGATAATTACTCCCGTCTCGTCACTGCCACCAAAAAGATGCTCACCACAGATGCTCTGCCATACAAGATCTCCATTTCGCCACAAGCACCTCTACTGGCCAGTAATGGCACTGCTCCAGACGCCAATGACGACTCGTCCTAGCATTTCACCAAAGCTGTTTTTGACACGCAGGACCTCATCTCATAGCATGACCAATTTGGTCACTGCGTCTTTTCCCAGGGAAGACGTCGTCTTGGTGCTTAAAATGTGGAGTATGTTGAGTATTTGGTTGATGAATGGTGAAGTGTTCAGTTTTTTTGTGACTTTGTACATTTATTTTGTATTGTTTGGGAACCCAAACTCTATGCAGAGATGTTGCTGGGAGACTCTGTCCATAGTTTATAAGCTTAAACATCATGTCTCTCCTTTATGTTTGAATGAAGTTTAAGATTTAGTACCATACCCACTAATAGTCGCCTGAGAGTCATCGCCTGTCCACTTAGTGGGTGCATCTCATGCCTCTCATTAGTGTAGTCTTGTGACTAAAACATAAAAACTTAACATCACTGACTGGTGATTCCCTGAGGGGTGCTAAAACATCCACTCAATATCATAGTTTTATTTCCTCAGAGTGGAATGAATAGCACTCAATGACGCCAGAATCACTAGGGAAAAGTCTACTGTTTAGAATGTTGGAATGTGATTTGTTTCTGTGGAATGGTAGCTCATCTCATTTCCTCCGTGTGTAGAGTTTTGTCGCATCACATTCCTATATTTCAACTGTTTCGTCTAAATGTCACGTTGTTGTTGTTGATGTTTTTTTCCATGTCAGTCAGATCTACAACTGAACCAAACCTGGCAAAGCAAGGGAACTGTTTTTGTCATTGTTTTTGCTATTTCTATCCTATTTCTATTGCATGTTTGAAATGAAAATAAACTGTATATTATACCAAGTTGAAGCAAAACCCCTTGTATTTTTGATTCTGGAGCTGGAACAAGTGAGCAAATTTGGATATTGGGTGTGCTGGAGAGCTGCTGCATTTGCATACTTTGCGTTTGCTTTTTAATAATAGAATTGAAAAGTCTGACAGTGGGGTTGTGAAAGCTTTGTCACGTGTCGTTCCCGCACAAAGTGTTTACCACATTTCTCCTCTTTTGCTGAGATGTGGGAATTCATTTGGCACAACTCTCACAGTGCAATATTAGGTATTTTTTAGCAGTATAGTGTATCTGGTTTACACTAGTTACTGCGTTGTATTATGGCAATGGTCCTAAACTTTTTTTTTTTTAGGTCAGCCAAACCCCTTAGAAGTCAAATATGAAATACTTGAAGTACCCCCCGAGTTTATATTTAAATAATTTCACCATTAATTTAATGATGTTCACATTTCTCTGATGTCAGGTAATGGTCACATTAATATGTAAGTAAAAATAAAAATATTTCATCTTTTTTTTAGTGTTTTTTAAAGTATTTTTTCTTTCATTTGACAATTTTATGATTTAATTAAGTAGCCTCTTAGCATTTCATCGGCTCACAAACCCCCTACAGTTCCTTCTCAAACCTTAGTTTGAGAACCCTGACATAAAGTAGCAACTTTTGTTAAAGAATGGAATATATTTTCTTTCTTTTGATAATTTATATCGATATGTTACAAAATAATACTGTGTATGTCTAATAAACAAGATTTCTGATAAGTTAAAAGTAACCTAAAAGTAGTCAGAATACATTACCTAAAATGTGTAATCGATTACGTTAATAGTTTTCATCATGTAATTTTACAATCAGTAATGTAGTACAAGCTGTAGGTAATCTACCCAGCACTGCTGATAGATAGCATTACTGGTTGGAGCCATCAGATACATCCAAGATTTTTCATAAGTCTGAACTTTGACAGGTGACTGCGTGATTAAGTTGACCAATGACAATGGCTGTGGGGCTGGGTTAGCGCTTAGCTGCTTGCCTTGTAGGGCCTACAGACAGAAAACTAGCCTCTTTCATACAGTCTTCAGGGTCAAATTGATTCAAAGCTGCATTAAATAAAACAAATTATGGTACTATACTATATTAAATAATTGTTATTTTGAAATTAATGAGATCCCTATTGCATTAACTTCCAAAACATGCAGATAGTATTTTAGGTAAATAAAAATCCCAATATCTACTAGGAATATTTAAGTAGTTTCACACTATAACATTTGGATTCTTCCATCTGAAGTCTTTTAATGGCAGCTGGTTCTCACTTTCTCCAAATGATGGCAGCAGTGAGATGTGTCCATGTTTACGCCTCTCCTCTGGTTAAATAGATATACTGTCTAAGTATCAGGTTTAAGGAAGTTGTCAGATAACACCTAAAGAAAAATGTTTATATTTTCAATTAGCCAAGCATATTACATTAACAGAAAGAGCATGATCAGAGTGTTAGGTACTAGAATGACATGTCGTGGTACTTTAGAGTCTTCTTTACAGGAACAATGATACAGATAAAGAGGGAAGGAAAACTTTACTGAGGGGGTAGAGCAGGTTGAGGTATCTTCATGACGTTGCAATGTATATCTATCTATCTATCTATCTATCTATATGTAGGTAGTCCAGCTCCTCCAGATGGCAGCCTTGAGATGCTGTGTGGGGAATGTTAAGCTGTCTGCCACTTCATCCAGTTTGTTTTGTCGGTGAGTCCAATAGTATCCAGCTGCAGACCCGCAGCACCAGCAGTTTCAGAACCGCGTTCACAGAACCGGAAGTGAGGGGCGGAGCTTACATTTTTTAACAGAGTAGCGCCACCTTACGGTTTTGAGTCAGTGATGGTGTGGGAAGGAATATTCTTGGAGGCTGTTGCTGTTAGGTACCGGGATGAAATCCTCAGAGCCATTGTCAGACCTTTTGCTGGTGCAGTGGGCCCTGGGTTCCTGCTGGTGCAGGACAATGTCGGCCTCATATGGGAAGTGTGTAGGCAGATTCAGACACTATACAGCTACGTTTACATGCAACCAAATAATCCATTTGTAATCGGATTGACGGCTCAATCGGACTGGAAAACCTTCATGTAAACACCTAGGTGGCTTAAGCTTAATTAAGCTTAATCGATCCGATTGAGCTCGATCGGAATGAAATTTCGATCGGATTGAAGGGGGTGGTTTATTCCTTTTCTAATATGATTGAGAGTGCATGTAAACACGATCAGATTGAACCCCGAAACTGAAAGAACTGCGCATGTGTAATGACGTATGACGCGCGGAACCAGCCGTTCTTCCTTTTGAATAAAGTGTTGTATAAATGTGTGTCTTGTCATTATAAAACTCTCCTTTCACTCGGCAACTGTGAAGTGGAGCAGTCAATTCCGATTTGAAGCTTGCGACATGTAAACACGCACATCAACCCGATCCCTTTCTTTAGCGTTCATGCAGTGGTGGGCCGTCAGGGCCAGCAAAGCCTTCTCTGCTGGCCCAAACACTATCAGAATCACTGATTTAGTTTTAATATATTTTTACCATGAATGTGTATTAAATTATTTCCAATAGTCTATTCTCTTCATTTCATAGCTTTTCTCTTGGTTGCGCTGCTTCCAGCAGTGTATGTTTATATTAGAGCTTTTATCCAATCATATTTCAGCAATCGTGTTGCCAGGGTCAAAGAAATCTGCCTTAAGGCCTTCAGAATCAACAGTGCAGGCGTTCATTCTCGCTACATAAGATACCTGTCTCTTATGTAGTGCCCTGTTATACTGCATTACTGTGTAATATTTATGGTTTCTATAGCCGTGGCATCATTATGATGGTATGAAGAGATGGATTAATCATGTAGGACGCCACTGAAAGCCTAGGTGTAAAATGCACGGCCCGCCACTGCGTTCATGTAAACACTACATTCAGATTCATCAATCGGAATTAATTCAGTCCGATTGAACCAAAAATTGTGCATGTAAACGTAGCTCCATGCCTCACTGGGTTGATGATTTTGGTTTCCACATTGTATTTAAGTAAAGATTTTCAACTTGAAAATTTTGTTCATCAAGATCCAATGTGTGATTTAAGTGTTCCCTTAATTTTTCATACAAACATAAATACATATACAATGCTACAGTGCACTCACATCTTAAAAATGTATTGTTTTACTATTGTTTTCAGCACAATAGTCTCAGTCTATTATGACAAATTATTTGGCCTATTTTAAAGGTAGTGACTAGTGAGCTCAGGCATTTCTTGCCAACTTGACTATCTTTCTAGACGATCTTGTCATGTAATATCACCTCATTAAAGATGTGATTTGTCCACCCTAGTGACGGGGGTTTCCCCTCATAAGCGATTCTTCCACCGGTGACCATGTGACTTGTAGCGTCATGGATGAAGTCACGTCCAATGCGGAAGTTAATGCTAACTGAGCAGTCGCCAACCATTCGAATAGAAACCGACTCTTTCTCAGCGTCTCAAGAGGAACTTACATGTAAATATGATAATTATTCTATGTTTTGTACTGTATTTATGAGATATCCACGATTATTTGTCAATATCCGTAGGTTCTTGAGGGTTTTGTTTACTTTCGTGAATTAGCTGCTCTAGCCGCTAATCGAGTCTCTTCCGGGTTTGAACAGTCAGATTTCTGACAATCCGAAAACGGTTTTAAATATATTTTGTTCGTTCAGTAGATATCAGTATAGATGCATCGAATCGATCTATATAAGTAATAACAATTGACTGCTTGTCAGCTAATCTATTTCTGTTTTATGTTTGTTTTTTTGTGACTGTTGTGACTCACACTAACACAGTCAGCATATGTAAGAGAATCGAAATAACAAATAAACCACTATTTCTAAATAGGTAAGGGTGTAACCGACAGAAAGTGCCTGATTATTACCATATTTTTGGACATGTACTGATATTTTTTGTAGTTCTTAATATACATGTAACAGAACCACAGTATTTTGATCAGATACCATAGTACTGCCACTACTTTTTCTGACATAAGGGACGACTGTTATCATTTACACTGTTTTTCTTTGGTTCCTGGTTTTTAAGCTTAACTAAAGTGATTAGGTTCCTAGTAGCTGAATTGTGCTGTTGTCATGATATGTCAATGACGTCACTCACCAAACAGGAGACATACATATCTCGAATCCAAATCTCTATATATGCTTGCACTGAAGCTTTAATAACATGTGAGATACCCGGGACACTGTTTTGACCTCCACTTTGAGTCTTTTTTCCGCCTTTTTTACCTGATCTTTGGCTCTTGACATTTCTCCACAGTGCTCCATCATGCTTGGTGGAGGGTTTAAATCCGAAAGACTTCGTGTCAATCTCAGGCTGGTCATAAACCGCCTCAAACTTCTTGAGAAGAAGAAAAGTAAGTTTGGTTGTCTACAAGTTGCTCGTATTTTAAAGTTTTGGATTTTTTAAAATTTAGTTGATTTAACTGAATTCTACTCGTTTGATCTGAATTAGCTGAATTAGCCCAGAAGGCTCGCAAGGAGATCGCAGACTACTTGTCAGCAGGCAAAGATGAGCGTGCGAGAATCAGAGTCGAGCACATCATCAGGGAGGATTATTTGGTGGAGGCTATGGAGATCCTGGAGTTATATTGTGATTTGCTGCTCACCCGCTTTGGCTTAATACAGTCCATGAAGTGAGTAACCTTTTTTTTTTTGTGTGGATTTTTTGCTCGTTCTTTAATTTTCCATCCACTTTTCAGAGAACTGGACCCTGGCCTACAAGAAGCAGTATCCACACTCATCTGGGCTGCCCCTCGACTGCAATCAGAAGTGGCAGAACTGAAGATTGTGGGTATCATTTGTCTTTGTCTTTAATCTATTTCTGGGGTGTGGTTCTAGTATGGATCATTCATGTCTTTTTTTCTCCCTTTAACAGGTTTCAGATCAGCTGTGTGCCAAATACAGCAAAGAGTATGGAAAGCTATGTAGGACAAACCAGATTGGAACAGTTAATGATAGGGTATGATAAAACATGTTTGTTTAGAGATAGTGGGCATTAAATGAACTCATAGTAATATGTGTTTGGGCAAACATTGCAATAACTATTGCTTATACATGGATTAGGGCATTTTCAAAGCTCCTTTTTGACATGTAACAGCATACCTGATCTACCTCAAATCATACTGCTTCATAAGGAGAGGCGTCATGTTACTTTTTGAAGGCTGAATACACTTCATGACTTTTGCCAAGTTTTTTTGCACTGATTCACTGTTTTTAGAGGAGTCAACGCTACTTGCCTTTTTTTGGTAGCTTTAGACTATGATTTTATCCAGTTGGAAGAAATCAAACATTATTGATATTTTGAGCCAATTTTAGAACATATTTTGGTTTCAGTTGTCGTTTTTCTCTCAGCAACAAGGCATATTTCTGTGTGAGTTTGTTGTGTTCGTAACGACTTGAAAGTCTGGTAGTGTGTGTGATCCTCAGTTGTTTTTCTCTCTAACCATTTACAAAGTCTGCAAGTGTATGATGCCTAGATTTTAAAAGTCATGTAGTGTATTCCAGCCTTAAGCAGGCAGAGATACAACTTTTACAAAATTCCCTAATCTTAAGGCCTGTTCACATCAAGAACGATAACTATAACTTTAACTATATTAGGGTCCACACCAGTGAATGATAACGTTCTGTTAATTTATGTCGTCTACCACATTAAATGCGCAGGTGGATTCTGATTGGCTTTCAATATTTTTATTATTCATTAGCTAGAAAATAAAATTGTTCTTTAAAGGTGACATATTATGGCCCTTTTTACAATATGTAATATAAGTCTCTGGTGTCCCCAGAATGTGTCTGTGAAGTTTCAGCTCAAAATACTCCACAGATCATTTATTATATCATTTTGAAAATGCCTATTTTGAGTGGAAGCAGAAACAAGCTGTTTTTCGGGCCTGTGTCTTTAAATGCAAATGAGCTGCTGCTCCCAGCCCCCTTTTCCAGAATAGAATATCTGCTAACAAAAATCTGTTTTGGTTCTAATTATCATGTTTATCGTGCTGAAATCATGCGTTTTAAACCATCTGAGTTTAAACTTCAGATATAAGGTTTTCTGAGCGCACACACCCGAAGCACATAGACAGAAAGCTGCTGTCACAGCATGTGAGTACTAAACTAAGTTCTCATTCACATACAAGTTTACGTTAAAAACACACGAGTTACAAAAACAGTCGGTTATGTCTGTGAAGGTAAACAGCTGGGAAATAAATCACATGCAGATTAAGGGGCGGTAATATTATAATGAGATCCTTTTGCCACGTCACCAAGGGAGCGAAATCAGACGTGCTCGTTTTCTCAGACGCTTGCAGAAAAAGGCTTACCAAAACAAAGTGATTGGGTTCATCTTTTTCACGTTTTTCACGCACCAGGGACCTGATTATAGCACTTAAAACCTGGAAAAGTCAGATTTTCATGATATGTCACCTTTAAGTGATTCCAACACTGTCTTTCCTTTGTATCGTTATTGTTATATTTGTGGTGTGGACTTCCCTATTCTTGAAGAATTTGAATTTGAACAATTATTAATTATAGTTACCATCCTTGGTGTAAACCAGGGGTGTCAAACTCAATTCCTGGAGGGTCGGAGCCCTGCAGAGTTTAGATTCAACCCTAATTAAACACACCTGGCGCCTGTACCATGAAGTCGGTTTAGCTGGCTAGCCAGGTAAGTTTCAGTTTAGTTTGCACCAATCCTGGGTTTTAGGTACCAAGTGGCTTGGCTTTTAAGTTTAGATTCAACCCTAATTAAACACACCTGGCGCCTGTACCATGAAGTCGGTTTAGCTGGCTAGCCAGGTAAGTTTCAGTTTAGTTTGCACCAATCCTGGGTTTTAGGTACCAAGTGGCTTGGCTTTTAGTGGTGTTCATCACCATAGTAACTTACACTCCACAGCTAACCTGCTCTGGGGCAGGTTATGTTCTGGTTTAGAGATCTCAAACCGAAAATTGATCAATCAGCTTCAAGCAAAGTGACACATGTCTGACGCAATAAAGCCACTCCCCCAGTTTCTCTTACTCCAAATTAAAGGAAGCTACATAGTAAAACATTTTTAAAGATAAAATTGTCTGAATTTAGAGATGATATTTTTTATAATTATTTTATATGATTTGTATAATTATTATACCCTTAATCCATTACACAAGCTAGCGTAGTTCAATAGTCATTATTAAGATTTTATTTTAAATTAATATAAACATATAGATAATATGCAATATAAATAAGTTTTAGAATCAATAGCTTTAAACATGACTACATATGATGTTTTCTTTAAGTTTCCCTCTTTCATGGATAGGTCATTTCATCTTGTAAATGTGTTTAAATTCTTCATATTGTTCAATCTTTTAATCTTTGGTAGTGAATCGCACTGACTCTCTCATGAGAAGCGAATCACAGTTTCAAGGCATGTGAATGATTGGCTGTTCATTACTGATGTCAGTCTTTCATGTGCACGTGCTTCATTAACTCAGCATCAAGCCTGAGTTGACAGAGAAAGTTGATGATCAGCTTCATGGTACCAACAAAGCCGGATTGGACTGGTTTGGTTTTGTCAACTCAAAACTAATCCTGTAACCCTGAGTTTGTTCAGCCACCATCATGGTACAGGCCCCTGGTCAGCTCAAACAGAGACAAGCACAAATCACTTTTGTTTCCATCCCTCACAGTAAGAGACTAGGGATCAAAAGTGCTTTGTGTTTGTCTGTGGGTCAGCTTTTGTGGACATTAATCTTTGGTAGTGAATCGCACTGACTCTCTCATGAGAAGCGAATCACAGTTTCAAGGCATGTGAATGATTGGCTGTTCATTACTGATGTCACACTTTCATGTGCACATGCTTCATTAACTCAGCATCAAGCCTGAGTTGACAGAGAAAGTTGATGATCAGCTTCATGGTACCAACAAAGCCGGATTGGACTGGTTTGGTTTTGTCATCTCAAGTCAAAACGTGTGTGTTGGAGCAGGGTTGGAACAAAACTCTGCAGGGGAATTGAGTGAAACCCCTGGTGTAAATGGTCCTTTACATCGATTGAGGAGCCAAACCAAATTCAGAATATCATAAATGCATAAGGAGTTGGTTCTACAAATCTGCTTTTAGGCTGTTGTAAATTAATATCGAACCTTGTCTCTGTAGCTTATGCACAAACTGAGCGTGGAGGCCCCTCCCAAGATTTTGGTGGAGCGTTACCTCATTGAAATCGCCAAAAACTACAACGTTCCCTATGAACCTGATGCCATGGTTCGGGTAGGAATCCATTTTCTCTTCCTCTTCAACTTCGTCATGTCTACAAGCAGCATTTGTTTCAAACTTTCCTCATCTTTATCATTCACAGCCAGAGGTATATCCAGGTGAAGAGGCAGATCTGATCGATGTGGACAGCGACTTCAAGAAGCCAGGAGCTGGCGGAGGGGGTGGAGGAGGGTTCACTGCTCCCGCTGTAGGCATGCCTATGCCCATGCCAATGCCCATGCCCATGCCCACAGCTTTCAACTACCCATCGCCCAAAGGAGCTGTAAGACCAAGCTCTAATTAACTGATTTCATTTGACTAATCTAAGAAGTCTGATTGTCTGTCTAGCTGTGAAATCCGTTTAAAATCCTTTTTCCCCCTACAGGAGCCCTTTAATGGTCCTGTTGGCACCTTTGATTGCTTTAGCAACTTCCAGCCTCCAGTGAGAGGAGGGCAGCCCCCACAGCTTCCCAGCTGCCCACCCACCTATGAATCTGTAAGTGCAAGTGATCACCACCCCTCCCACCCTTCCAGACAGACGGAGACGACCTTTCCACCTTGCAGGGAAGAGTAGTTTATTCCAGTTCACATGCTGTGTTAGTCCTGCTATGTTGTCAGTCTTCTGATCTCACATAGGGAGCCTCCACAGGCATGTGCTACGGGCTGCAAAGGATGGAAAACACTACATTCTGATCTCTCTTGCGCCATGTGTATGGCTTTTTGGGATTTTTTGGGGAAATGCTTTTAGGTATTCAAGTAGCCATATGCTGTATGTGAGTCTTATGGAAAATGTACTCACAAAATATATTAAAAAGGTGAATCTCACGTGGGTTGTCAAGAACATGTCCGGCAAAATGAAAAGAAACAAGAAGTATTTTGCCTAAAGAAAATGAAGCCTTTTGTTTGGACCAGTAAGACATTAATATTATTAGTAGTAAAAATGAGGTGAAAAGTGTTCATTGTTATACAAATAATATCACCTCAAATGTTTCATTGTCTTTATACAAAAATACAATATTTTTTCTTTTGATTTTGCTTTTGTGACATTCACCTTGAAGCATTTACCCCAACAAATCCTCTACTGTGCATGGAAACGGGCCTCATTTATAAAACGCACAATACGATCATATTTAATCCTAAATACCATGGATTTCATTCTACATCAAAATTGAGAAGCAAATTCAGATTT